AATATATCATAACAGATTCCTCCAAACTGTATTATAAATTGGCCCAAACCACAGACAAGAAACACTAATAATAATACAGTATAAAATAACCGCATTAACCGTCTTTAATTTTAAAACACGAAAAAAAAAAATTCGAAGGAGACGGTTTCTTCTCTGCGCTAACATCTCTCATCCCCAAAGTGGCCAATTTTGTCTCAAACAACAAATTTCCTCCTTGTATTAAATCTTTCGTATTAAAAATATATGTCTTTAATAAATGTCCATCCTCCTAAAACGTATTTCGGTGCGGGAGACATTCAAAAGTCATTGGGTTCCCAAACCAGGGGAAGAACCCGTTAATAGAGTTGACGCAGCAGCGCTCAAACACGACATACTGTACAGAAACAAAGACGTAACATTCAGACACCAAGCAGACAAACAAATGATAGACGAACTCGAAAATATTCCCAATCCCACTTTCAAAGAGAAATTACAGAGGGCTCTTGTCATAAAACTCTTGAAGGCAAAATTGAAATTGGGTATTGGCATAGCAGACGAGATTCACAAAGAATTTCGAAAAAACAAACATTACCTCAAAGTCAAAGTTTTTGATAAAGATGAAATTTGGTCAGCTGATTTAATCAACATGCCAGTCGAGAAAGGGTACAAGTATTGTTTGACGGTGATCGACATATACACGAGATACGCTTGGGTCTTTCCCTTGAAAAACAAATCGGGTCTGACTGTCAAACAAGCATTCGAAACCATAATGAAACAATCCGACAGACGACCCCTAAAGTTGTGGGTTGATAAAGGAAGCGAATTCTACAACAGAAATGTGAAATCTCTGGGGTTTGAAATTTACAGCACGCATAACGAAGGTAAAGCCGTAGTGATAGAAAGATTCAACTGGACTCTTAAAAGCAAATTATTCAAGAAATTCACGGAATTGAAATCTCAAAAATGGCTTAAAATATTACCAGTTGTTGTCGACGAATTCAATAACAAAATACATTCGTCTATAGGTGTGACGCCATCGCAAGCCTCTAATAACCCGAATATCATAAAGTCCGTCAACACTCGAAACAACTTTGAAAACGAGATTAGCAATTTGAATATTAAAACCCAATTCAAAGTTGGAGATCGAGTTCGTATTTTTAAATATAAATCATTGTTTCAGAAAGGTTACGTCGGGTATTGGACTAACGAGATATTCATCGTTGATAAAGTAAACAACACAGAAAGAAAGAAATTTAGATGTCGACAAGCATTTACGCTCTCTTAAATTAAGATTTTTTAAATTTAAATGTAAATTTATCTTCAAAATATTATTGAATGTGTTTTATCAGAATGACAAGTTTTTTCAAACACAAACTACGTATATATTTCGTCAATTGGGTCTTCAGCAATACTTACCGCCTACTTCGAAAAACACCTAAAAAAATCAACTTAAAAAATGAATGCATTTCTCGATAAATACGGAAAAGACACGACCAAAAACTTTCAACTTGTGAAATGGGCTAAGGAATTGAACGTCTCGCCGTTTTATTATTGCATGCGAGATGAAATTGATGAACTGAAATACAAGAAAGGTAAATTTTACGTCATCACAAACATTCACACGTCGGATCAAAAAGGAGTTCATCACTCTGCTCTACACAAAGATTCTTCGAATAACTTTTATTTCTTTGATTCTTTCGGTCTAGAACCGACAGAAGAGATAACGAAATTGACTAGCAAACCAATAAAATGTTCTACGTTTCAAATTCAAATGCCAGGACAAAAGCTGTGTGGACAGCTGTCGCTTTGGGTTTTATATCGGTTGAGTTTGGGAGAAAAGTTTGAAGAAATTATAATAAATTTAACTCAATAAAAATGGCAAACAAGTTTGGATTAGGGTCTTTACCTCTAGAATCCAAAAATCTCATGACGACGTTTATAAACAAAGCGAAACCTTTTTTCGTGGATCAAATCGGAGACACCTTACAAGGGGATATCGATATGAACAATTTCAAAACAACTAATTTAAAGTTTCCAGGAAACGATAACGATGCCGTGAACAAGAAATATTTACTGGATCAAATAAACGCAATTCAAATAGATAAGGACCATGTTGAAAATAGAATAAATGAAGTGAAAAGATACCTCAGACGAAATATTAAAAATCTTGTGGACGAACCCAAACTACAACAAGAGTTAATGAGTTTGAAACGTCTTATTCAATTGGATAAAACAAGTCAGTTGCAAACTTTAATATCTAAATTAGACGATAAGATTACGAAGGTAAAAATAGACGTCCAACGTTTAATAGACAACCCAAACGAGGATAGATTGAAACGAAAACTAACCGCTTGG